AGGTCATAATTTCAGTTCTAGCGCCCTTGATAAGCCAGCCAAGCTAAAACAAAATTCCCACCATTGAAGTTGGAAACATTTTCAAGGATTGCAATCTACGTGGCGATCTACGAGACGCTCACTCTTTTAATTATTGTTCAAGAAGTGGCGAATAGGATTGGTAGTTGTTACACACCGAGGACTTTGCACAGCACTATTTGCGGCATGATGAGGTATTTGAAGGATCGGGTTGGAGCAAAAGGAAAACCATTCAATCCATTAGAAAAGGTGTCAAAAGGTATGTTCAATAAGCCTTGTTAATTAAATATCTTTTCTAAAAAAAAAGATTAGGGTTATTTTTAGGGATTAGGGTTAGAGGGCTTGCTTTTATCCAGGGTTAGAGGGCTTGCTTTTATCCAGGGTTTGCGACAACAACTGGACCTCCCCTCTTAATTGTATTCAAGAATGCAGTCTTAAGTACGTTTAAATACGCCAAGCAAAGCATCTACTCCAGTTTATCTATAATCTAATCATATTTATTTACTTATTTACTGAGTACGACACACAACAATTTTGAAATACTCACTAACTATACCTACGTGTTTGGTATAATACACTGCAAACCTAGTAAGTTTTAAAACACTAAATTTTAAATGTTTAATTTGAATATAATATTAAATCTCACTTCTTGCAACATTTTTGAAAATTAAAACTAAAATAATAGGTGTAGACATATGCCAAAAGCCCCGTTTTTAAAGCAATTTTTTTAGTTTTTCTAAATAATTAACTTGTAAACTAAACGCTTCAGACAAAAAGCCTCAGCAGAAGTATAGGGCAAATATGCTATATCTTCTGAAATCGCCTGAAAAAGCGCCAAACAATTGCCTTTGTAAACGTGTCTTAAAAATACGACCGAATTGCGAAAATGTTCAAAATGGTGCTAAAAATGTAACAACTCTTATTTCTTTTTACAAAAAAAGCATATAATTATTCCTAAAAAGTAGTGTAAAATTTAAAAATTAAACGACACTTACCTGGAAGTGGAAGTTTGATTGTAATTCTACCGATATAACACGTGACTGAGAGATTACATGAGAGATTGCGTTACACCATGACCGGTCACCTTTTAAAGCCATATAGTTGATGTGACAACTTATATTTTGTATTTATCGTTTGGTCACTGCTTCATCTGACGAACTCCACAAAAGTGACCAAATATCAGTTGCACTGATAGCAGCTTGATTGTCTATTTGTGTTTTAATGTTTAGATAATAACATTTTGGGAGTGGAGGGAGGGCATGTAATCTCTCAGTCACGTGTTATATCGGTAGAATTACAATCAAACTTCCACTTCCAGGTAAGTGTCGTTTAATTTTTAAATTCTACCTCACTACCACGTGACTGGAGATCACATGAGATTTTAAAGCTTAGTTGGCACAGCAACTATAATCACAAAGAAAAGCAATTTCCCAATAAACCATAACTTTAATTCAATAACAACTAACATTGACTTAGGAT